AAAAAAAAAAATCCCTGGTAACACAATGCTAGTAATCCAAGAGTACGAGCTTTAAGGAAAGGATTCTAACAGCCTGAGTCCAGTTGCAAAAGGACTCAAAAGACAGAAGACTCGTCAAGATGGCAAGACAAGTCTCCGTATAAAATCCTCAGCTTCAAAATCACAAACAGTCTGCACGAGGGTGAGGACTTCGACAGGATCCTTTAAAAAAGTCTCTTCTCCCCCTAAAGTCTCCATGGATAGACCCGCGAACAATGCATCCCTACGTCTGAGCATCCGCGTTACACCGTTACATGAATCTCTTCGGTGTTCACGTGGTCTTGTGGCTAGGAAGAAAAAAAAGGTAAAAGACGAAGGAAATTTTCTAAATGATTGTCCTTCTCGCTTCTCTTGAAGCACAACATTCGTCGGGGCAAGCTGTTTGAACGTATTTTTCAGCACCTTGGTCCCTGATAGGAAACAGATCAATAAAGCCTACAAAATAGTGGAAATTCCCGACAATCTCATAATGGCCCCAAAATTGGTCAAGATCTTCATCAACACTTCAAAAGACCACCTGCCAAGTTTCATCGCGATCAGGCATGTCTAAGGCAGTAAACACAAAGAAACAATTTCAGTGAAATTGGTCTCTAGCACCCTGAAATAGACCATGTAACTAGAACCATATATTTAATGTGTCAAACAGCTATGGGACCACTGCCATTAGATCCAACATGGTTGAAAACCCCTATGGGTCAAGTTTCGGCTTAATCGGACACTCCTAGACAACGTTATGCATGAAATACCAAAAAGGGGTGGGCCGCACACTATTCTCGTGTGGCCTCACTACATCAAACCACCATTAAAGGTGTATGTTTTTATATTCACAGGCAGTCACTTTCGAGGCCTATATCTCATTTGTTCCAAGTCAGATCGCTCCCGAATTTGGTAAGCGTGTTCGTCTCATCAACACAAGCACATCGATATGTGATACACCTAGTGACGACACCCGAACAGAGAGAAAAACTAAATAAAAGTCACTAATCCGTGAAGGAAGTTGCAGAAAACTCAGCAGCAGCATGCCTCGTTCGAGCAGCCAGATCATGACGCTCGCATACCTGATCGGTACAAAACCAATTGCATTATGTGCGTAAGGTCCAAGGCTATCTCTGGTCGGAACCTCGCGTACGATGAATAGTTGGATTTCACACACGAAGGCATCAAAACTGCTGAAAAATTTCGGCTGCCAGATTTCAAGATTCTTGTCAAAAACTCAAGATGACAAAATCTTCATCCGGACATAAAATCAAGCTACATTTGTTGCAACATGATCGTGACGGCATGCTCAATGTGAATCAATGAAGATGTCATGAAAAAACATCAAGGAACAAGCACACAATCGATCCGAAGTTTTCAATATTCATCCAAAATTCAAGTCGGTATCAAAATGATCATGGCTCAAAAACATGATTCAATGGCTCGAAGTTGGTATCAAAATGATCGTCATGCCGAGTCCAACAAGAAAGCAATAATCTTTCGATCAAATGGGCATCAGAACGACCTCGGGTCAGTCACGGAAGATCACGCAAGTTCTCGGGCTGCAGCAAAGACTGTTCTAGACTTCTACACATTGTTAGGCAAAGGCAAAACAGTCCTTTTGCACCCATTTTTAGAATTTCTTTAAATTCAATTAAATTGTAATTATCTTCAATTCTCGGTTGTTTTTTGGCGTACACCCATGTTTTAGCCCAATTCTATATAAACAGGCAATGTCTCACTATAGAAATGACGGATTCATTCTTCTTGGATCAATCAATAAAATTCTGAATTTTGCTTAAGCTTGTTGGTACGTCTTGAAGAGAGAGAGAGAGAGAGAGAGGAGAGAGAAGAAAAGAGCTGGGACCTTTCAGGCAGGTAACTTTTTCTCTCCTCCACTTTTTCTCTCTCCTCCCCTCTTTCTCTCTCCTCCCCTTTTTCTCTCCCCTCTTTCTCGTCTCTATCTCTCTCTCTCTCCTCTCCTTTTTCTCATCTCCATCTCTTTCTCTCCCCTCTTTCTCATCTTTATCTCTTTCTCTCCCCACTTTCTCATCTCTATCTCTTTCTCTCTCTTCTTCTCATCCCTCTCTCTTTCTCTCTCCTCCCTTCTTTCTCTCCCCTCTTTCTTGTCTCTTTCTCTTTCTCTCTCCTTCCCTTTTTCTCATCTCCATCTCTTTCTCTCCCCTCTTTCTCGTCTCTATCTCTTTCTCTCTCTTCTTCTCATCTCCATCTCTTTTTGTCTCTTCTTCTCATCTCTATCTCCCTCCGTTCTTCGTCTATTGCAGTAGGTGAAGCTTAGCACCGGTAGGATTTTTCTCTCTCCTTCTCTTTTGTTGTTGTCGGTGAAGTCTAACGTCGGATGGATTTTTCTCTCTCCTTCTCTTCTTTTGCAGTCGGCGAAGCCTAGTGCCGACTGAATTTTTCTCTCTTTTTCTGTCATAGTTGACAAAGCTTAGCGTCGGCTCGATTTTCTCTCTCTCTCTGTTCAGTAACAGTCGACGAAGCCTAGCGCTGGTTCGATTTTCCACTCTTCCTTTTCTTTCATCACAACCGGCGCTAGCCTAGCGCTGGATAGGTTTCTCTCTTTCTTCTCTTCTGTCATAGCGAAGCCTAGTGTCGGCTCGATCTCTCTCTCTTGCTTTTCTTTCATCATATCCAGCGCAAGCTTAGCGTCGGTTGGGTCTCTCCCTTTCTTCTCTTTTAGCACAGTCGGTGAAGCCTAGTGCCGACTGTATCTTCTCTCTTTTCTTCTGACACAGTCAGTGAAGCCTAGCGCTGGCTGTATTTTCTCTCTCTACTTCTGACACAGTCGGTGAAGCCTAACGCCAACTGTATCTTCTCTCTCTTCTTCTGACACAGTCGGTGAAGCCTAACGCCAACTGTATCTTCTCTCTCTTCTCCTCTGTATAACACAGTTGGTGAAGCCTAACGTCGACTGCAGTTTCTCTCTCTTCCTTCTAACACAATAGGCAATGCCTAGCGCCGACTGCATCTTTCATCCCTCTCTCTCCTTTATTCTATCGCCTTTCATACTGTTCTCTTCCTTTCTTGTCCCTCCTTCCTTCTGTTCCCTTCTTCTCTTATTTCATTTCTTATTCTTTCCTCATGACCATCATTATGTTATTCTTTCATTCGACTAAGAGGGATTGAGGTTAACCTCTCATGGTAGTCCTATCATCTAGCCGTAATGTTGTTGTGTCAGGACTACTTGGCCCACTTTATTGCGGCGATAGATTAACCATCGTGCTTAGCTAGTCAGTATTGGTAATGATGTCTAGTAGTAATCTTGTGAGCCGGTGTTAGTTACCGAGCCTGTTTGGCTACCACTTCAGGCCAATTATTCACCAGCTTAGTCACCGCTCTGATCCTCTCACTCAGTCTAATTCTTCTCTCCCCTGTCTTTCTTCTCTTATTTTTCTCTTCTTATTTTTGGATGTGCATGCTTGTGTACGTTCATCAAAGAGGAAAAGGATGAGGTCTGACCCATCTGTCTTATAACCTTTGCCATATGTGTGTGATTGCAGAAAACAGAAGAATACAAGCCAAGGGAGGCGATTCCGAACCAATCTAAGAGGGCGCCCAAGCAAGCCAGCTCGAGTAAGTCCCGAACCCACCTTAAATTCCTCTCTCGCCTGTTGGTAACACTTGCCCCCCTTCTCGAACGACGTTCCCAAGAGAGTGACATCAAAAACGTCTCGGGTCTTCCCTCGAAACCTGAGACACGTGCCGCCCGATCCTCAATGGATCCGGAGGGCGAGATCGAGGCACCTAACCAGTGCCACATGTAAATTTTCTTGAATGGATTCATTTTGAACTATATCCCTTCTTGTCTTGCCACTCATCCATCTCAAAATTTTCATCTCTGCTACACGTATTTTATGGGTATATTGCTTTTTGTCCGCCCAACATTCTACCCTGTAGAGCAAAGTTGGTCTCACTGCTATCCTATAGAACTTGTTCTTTAGCTTTATTGGCATGCGGCAATCATATAAAATTCCAATTGCACATCTCTGCTTTGGTCACCCAGATTTAATTATGTATGCAACATCTTCGTTAATCTCTCTATTATCTGGAATTATCGACCCAAGATATGGAAAGTGCGATTTTTTGTACTTCCTGGCTATCAATCTTAACTACTTCATTGTCTTTACTCCTATTATTACTAAACTTGCATTCTATATACTTTGTCTTACTCTGGCTAATTTTAAAACATTTGGATTCTAGAACATCCCTCAAAGTTCTAGCTTTGTGTTGATGTCGTTTCTAGTCTTATCGATAAAAAATGTCATTTGTGAACAACATGGACCACAGTACCTCATCCTGTAAGGTAAAATAAATAGAGTAATAAAAATAATAGAAATTTTAATTTTTTTTTTCTATTTCCCATCATAGTTGCTTATTTTTTTATTTATTTGCTATATTTTGTTACAAGTAGAATATTTGCTTGCATAGAATATTTGTAAGAATCGCTTTATTAATCCTACCTCTAAGAGCACCCTACACATAGTAAGACCCCACAACAATCCCAAGAGGTTCGCTCGGGATTTATGTGGGTGTACCCAAACCTGAATTGCATTTTAGCCTTTTCTGAGTTATGAACTCCACATGTGAAACTTTGCTTATAGAAATTATGTTACATTGTTTAAAACCTTTTTATATGGGGATGTGTCTAGGTAATTTATGTTAGATTTGATTAAGCCATGTCCCGCAACCCAACCAAGATGAGTTGTTCAATCTAAAGACATCATTTTTTTCAAGCACATAGAGAGTGCAATTTGGATTTTTTTTTTTATTGAAGTTAGTCTTTAAGTTGATGAGATTATATTTCAAAAATTCAAAGCTGTAAAATGATTCCCAGATTGTATTTTACCCGATGGGTGCTATGCTCTTGCATGAGCACAAAATCTTTGGCTTTCCTCATTCGAGATCTTTGCATCAGAGATTAGAACTGGTAGAACGGGCCGATCAATTGAGGAGTTGGTCCAAGCTAGAAGATGAGTCTTGGAAATAAATGAATGAATGACTATCCATTGTCCACTACAATAATCCCCATTCTAGCAGAACGAACTAACTTGTGACGGAGAGGAGAGAAAAGAGAATGCAATTAATTGTTTTAGTTCATAATTAAACAATTTATGATTCATTTACCTAGGTGACATAGTTGAATAACTACAAGTAGCTCCAGATTGGTCTAAGAGACTGGTGGCTGTGGTGGTGTTTGTAAAACTGCAGTCTGGAGTAAAATCTCCCTTCATGGCTCTATACACATTGTTCAGCCCTTCTTCCACCATCTCTCCCACACACTGAGGCATTGGAGGCTCTTCAGACTCCATCGAGCCTTCCAATATCTTCACCACAATCCCCATGGGAGGCCGCATGTTCACATCGTCTTGTATGCACCAAAATGCTACATGCAAGGCCCTTACCACCTCACCCTCATCCACCACCCCCTTGAGCCTCTTATCAACAGCCTTCACACCTGATCTGTTAACCATTTCCTGCATATGGTTCAAAGTCTTTGCTTTAGCACGATCATTCACTCTATTTTTACTAAAGCCTAAGAAAGAGAGTATCTCCTTTTCTTTGTAGAAGACATGCTCTGATTTATCATTTATACGAGCATGGTGTCTAACAGCGAAGGAAACAAGAAACAAAGAAAGAGTAAGCAATAAATTGATAGTTCTTTTTAGTATCATATTTCTAAAAGTTGGATGGCTTTCTAGGCTATTGTTCTCAAGAAAGCAAAACAAAATCTCTTAAGAATAAATTGAGCTTTGTTTGGGTAAATAGCAGTTGACGATAGCAATACTAAATATCATACTGTCAAGTTAGATAAGTCATGGGCTTGTGACTTATTATACCTGGAAGGCCCAACCTGGATAGAAGAAACCATTTTCACCAAGAGACATGTCAAGGTTTCTCCGACCACCAATGATTTCAAGAAGCAACATCCCATAGCTGTAGACATCTGCCTTCACGGTGATTGCCCTATTTGTCACCCATTCTGGTGCTAGGTAGCCCCTGGTACCTCTCACCATGGTCACAACATGGGAGTGCTCTCTCCCCATTAATTTAGCTAGGCCAAAATCAGAGACCTTGGCACAAAAGTTCTCATCCAAGAGTATGTTTTCAGGCTTTATGTCGCAGTGAATGATTCGATCTCGACATTGCTCATGAAAGTAAGCAATACCTTGTGCAGTTTCTACAGCAATTTTGAATCTGGTCTTCCAATCTAGCAATCGGTCTCTGTTTTGAGAGGATGGAAACAACCATTTATCCAAGGATCCATTCTTCATGAATTCGTATACGAGAAGCCTGTGCACAAGAATAATACACAATTAGATCTACAATGTTAAAAGAAAGGGATTTGGAATTTGGCTTGATTATCTAAAGCTCGCAACCCTCCCACTTAACAAAAATTTGTAAATAAATTCAAAGGAAATCTCAACAAATTATAGTGTGAAGTTAACCTAAAAATATGGTTAATAAGGAATATGTAGTCAATGAATTCTTAAGCCATAAATTAGCATTGAAAACATAGAAATATTCAACAAATGAAGGAGCATAATTTTTCTTTTCTACAGGAACACATTTGGCTGCTCATTTTCATTTTTTGACTCTTTTCTTTTATTTATTCTTTCCAAGCATTGGTGGCAATAGTAACTAAGATTTGATGCGACTGTTGATAGTTTTGAGTTGATTATTAAAACAGTGAATGATAGAATGTGTTCTCTTCTTTTAGCGTTTGTATTTTGAGTTGTTAACTCTAGACAAATCCATATATATATATATATATATATATATATATATATAGAGAGAGAGAGAGAGAGCGAGAGAGGAGAGAGAGAGTGTCG